GTTTTTCAGTGACTCAAGCGCAACACTGTCAGATCGTGCCTTAGTATCAGGGTTCAATAACTGATTGCGGAAAAGAGTAGCAGCCTTCATTGATGGATCTGATGGAGGTTTAACATTGGCCAGGGCACAGAACTTTTGAAAGCGCTTGTGTGCTTCTTCTCGTGTATGGTTTTCCATAACCATGGTCAGTCTGTCAGCAAGTTCATCTTCCTGTATATCATTTCTCGCACTATCTTCACTATCAGGGGGTTCAGTGTTTTCTACAGCTGCTGGTTTAGAGTCATCACCTGAAAAAAATGCATGAAGACGGCAACACTTTATATTTACATCCAATTATCTGAGGTGTATTACAAAATATTTCACCCAATCACCTGAGCTGTATTACGAAATATTTCATCCAATCATTTGAAGTGTAACATCAAATATTTCATCCAATCATCTGAAGTGTAACATCAAATATTTCACCCAATCACCTGAGCTGTATTACGAAATATTTCATCCAATCATTTGAAGTGTAACATAAAATATTTCATCCAATCATCTGAAGTGTAACATGAAATATTTAACCCAATCATCTGAAGTGTAACATGAAATATTTCATCCAATCATCTGAAGTGTAAGATGAAATAATTAACCCAATCATCTGAAGTGAAACATGAAATATTTCATGCAATCATCTGAAGTGTAAGATGAAATATTTCATCCAATCATCTGAAGTGTAACATAAAATATTTCATCCAATCATCTGAAGTGTAACATGAAATATTTCATCCAATTATCTGAAGTGTAACATGAAATATTTAACCCAATCATCTGAAGTGTAACATGAAATATTTCATCCAATCATCTGAAGTGTAAGATGAAATAACAAGCCATGCATGGCACAGTCCTCGTTAGTTATCAAATTTAAGATATATAGTTTTGTTTATAGTAATATAGCTGGAATATAACCATGTCAGGAATATGATTTTTTAACATTAAAATAATTGAAATTTGTATCTGATCGTCAAAAAAGTACTTGTCCATATTGAGGGACATTGCTCTGGAACAGCATTCAAAATCAGCCATTTTAAATACATATATATATAACATGATGTATAACTAATATATAAAATTTGAATATAATCAGTCAAAGCATTTAAGAGATATGGCTCTAGAAGCCCAATCATTAAAACAAATGGCC